AGCTAAAAAAGAAAGAACAATGCACTGTAGTTTCTTCAAACAGGGTTTTTATGATAAGGTTGGTAAAAAGAAATAGACGGACACAAAATACACTGAGACATAATGCTCATCACAAACAAAATGAGGTTTGTAACATAAGTGTGAACTGTACAATTTTAAACCAACCGATCGAACAAAATAAACCGCTCTGTGCTTCAAAATAAAATGAGAAGCAGAATTGATCATTAGTAAATGCTGCATTCTGCATAAAATGGCTGCCAGCTTGAATCCATGATGCCGGTGAGAAATAATGTTAAAAGAAATGTCTGGAGCAAAAAACTGACAACAGGCGGGGGAAAAAAGTTCATTTCAGGCAGGCCGTGCTTCCAGTTACCCTCTTTGAGTCTTTGAGAAGAACTGAGTTTCAAAACTCTGTCATCTTCTTGTGTGTGTCAGACTTCCTGTGCTCGCCCTGGACGGACAGCTCTTGGGCTTTCTGCTGGGCCAGCAGCCGGCGGGCCTCTGACAGCTTCTCTTCCAGCTGCTTCACTCTGGAGGCATCCCTTTGCACACACAAACAACAAATAGATTAGCAAGTGGGAAGACACTGGTTGGTTTTAGCTGCACTTTCCAGAATGAGCCGGCAACGGAAATGAGTTTCTAGCCTCGGAACATTGCAGCTTATTTACATTTCCTCACAACTCCCACGGGCCATCTTGACAGGAGCTCTGTAGCCTGTAGTGTGCTCATATCCCAGAATAAATTATAGCCGTGCATTTCTGTATCTATGATTGTTTTGGCTCTTGGTTCAGCTCCCAGCCTTCACAGAAGTCAGATTAGACATATAATAAATGAACAACTGATCCGTACTGACCTTCCCGTCTGTCTCTTGAGGGTCTGCGTCAGTTTCTGGATCTCCCTCTCAGTCTGGGACACCCTCTCAGCAGCCTGGAACACCTTTACATTCAGAGTCCTCTTTATGCTTTTCCCCCCCCTGTAAGCCTCCACCCCGATCGCTACCCCAGCAGCAGCAGCCCCCCCCTCAGCAGGACCAATACTCTTGCCTCCTAGCTTGTTGTTGAGAAAGTCAAAGACGTTTTTGCGCCCCCCAGTGGCGCCCCCCCGTGGCCTTCTGCGTCGAGGCTTCCTCTTCGGGCGGCCTGTCCCCTTGCCATCTTTGGCAGACTTCATGCGGGGTCGTCTCGGGGTGAGCTCGGGACACTCGTCCAGAGGCTTCCCTTTAGGCACGACGACTGCCATGACTGGCTCTAGTCGACCATCCTGCGTCTTTCCTAAGCCTGAGAGAACACAAGGGACACACGTTACACTTTTCTGCAAATTTGACATGTTAAAGAGGACATATTATGCTCATTTTCAGGACCCCTAATTTGTGCTTCTAGTGGGACATGGTTACTTGCTTCAATGTCCAATAAATGTATTCTCATACTGCCTGGCTCCAGCACCTCTTTCACATAGTAAAAGCTCATGAACACACCAAAGTCATAAGAACTACTTTTTAACTCTTGAAATGGGACGCCCCGAGGCATTTGAATGTGTCAGTAGCCGTGCTGAAGGTCTCCTACTACCAATCTAGTTACTAAAATCAAATCAACCATTTTTTTATTGTATCTTTTGTGACCCATTGATTTGAGTTTTTTGCAAGACCCCCTTTCAATCAAACTTCAATACCTATCTATATTAATTATTAGTAACCTCATTATAAGGATGTCCTGGCTTATGTGAGGTACTCCTTCTTTTGCAATGATATTGATTATTTATTTTATACAGCACCTATCCCACTGAGGTTTTGTTGCCTGGGCGCTCAGCCAAATTGTTCCTCCGCATTTAACCCTTCCTAAATATTGAAGTGCAGCACAGTGCAGAGCGTAGGGACCAACTTAAATCCTAAAGCCAATGCTTTGTCAAGGACGGATTAAGTCAATCTAGCATGCATGTGTTTAGGGAAGGAGGAAACCTTGGGGGAAACATGCAAAATCTGGCCGGGTTCTTACCCGTACCTTCTTTCTGTAAGATGACAACGCAACTAAGGCACATGCACGTTGCAAAGAAGATATAAACTAATGTTTCTTAAACTTGTTATGACCTTCCTTTAATGCTGGTGAGACATTTGCATGGAGAGTAATGCAGTAAATGACTTATCTTGCTAAAAAAAGAAAGAAAATAAATCAATAAATAAGTGCCACGATCAGAACAGGACGTTACCACTTTAGAAACTGAAATGTGATTCATGTGCACTTAGACTTACCTTTCCCATATTCATAACCCATTTTGAGCATGAGCTTGGATCCGATGCCTCTGGTGTGGGCCTCCCAGCCACCGAAATCTGCACTTCTTAACATTTCTGTGGGATCTACAGCGGAGTCCATAACTATTGGGTAACAAGTGAAAACCAAGAAGAAATGGTTAGTTACACAACTTTCACTCAAATTCAAAACTTTACTTCCACATACATTGCATTACCAGCTTTTAAAAGGTTTCTGAGACTAGTTATGGCTTTGATTGACAGGTATAGCAACTCATAACCATAGACACCTTTTGCAAAAACCACATCATCTTCATCTTCATCTCCACTGTCGTCAGAGTCAGAGGAGGAGGGCAGGTCGTCCTCTCTCAAAGGAGGGATGATGCAGTCGGCCTCCACCACAACATCTTTCAGCAGCACCGAGTCAAACTTCACAGTGAAGAAACCACTGTCCAATTCTACAGTGAGAGAAAACAGAAAAGTTTAGTCAGAAAAAGTTTTAAACTAACTTATTTTATTACCTTTTGTAAATGATATTCAGATAACTGATGATTGTCAAGGAAATGTATCTATTGGACACTTTACATTCAGTATATCACAGTATAGTGGACACTTACTGCCCAAACTGTGAGTTTGCTTTGAAATTCATGATCAAAACCTGGCCCTGTCATCACAATACCTTTGATTTTGGCAGGGTACCAGAGGCCGTCCTCATGTCGAGCCAAGCAGGACGAGCCTGCTTCAAGATTGCTCAGGTCGAACTCAAGGAACTCTCTGAGCTCCGACACATACACCACTTCACCGTGGGAAAACCTTCAAGAAGCAGAAGACAGAAATTAGATAAAGCTGATTTTTCAGTGCTTGTTGGAGCTCAAACTGTAATAGAATCCATATTAATGTTTTCCCATTTGTGAAATGGGAAAAAAAAATACTAGACAGTCATTTAGACAGTCATGGGTCACCACATAACAAGCAGATCAATAGGGTGACAACTCAATTTTTAATAAAAGTAGCAAAAGAAGGAACATTTCTCAGAGTTTTTGACTGATTTCTGTAGCTATGGTCAGCCTGCATTATGTGGACAATGGGTGACACTTGCTGGAGGATATCTGTTATTACAAAGGAGGCAGGCAAATACTGACAATAAAACAACCCCTTGCAGGTCTAAGTGTAAAAACATTGGAACTTTACCTGCAAGTATCCGGGAAGCGACATTTGTCCTCCAGGTAATATGGACAGGGTTTCATAGACTTCTGGGTGGGGTAGACGTAGAAAACTCTAACTTGTGCCTCTTCTCCATCTGCTGGTTCTGCCCCCACCACCATGGCATTGTGATACTCCAATGTCCCCCATGATGTCCGGTACGGTGCTCTTACTTTGGTGCCATTGAGTGCATCTTCTTCTTCTTCCTCCTCATCCTCACCATACTCTACCCCACCTTCCTCCTCATTGTCCTTCTCTCTAGTGTCAGAGCTACTACCTGACGACCCCCCGAGTTCAGTGTAAAAAGCAGCAAACTCATCGTTCAAACTGCTGTGTGCTCCGTTTGTGCCAGCTGCTGCCGTTGAGGTGTTCGCCTGAAATCCATAGATGTCCTCCAGGCTGGCCAGAAGCTTACTCTTTTTGACAGACACCAGGCTGGACTCGGTGAGCTCTATCAGCTGACTGAGGTCGTCTTTCAGTTTTAGCAGGTCCGACTGCTGGGAAGGGTCCAGGCCAGCTGACAGGGCGGTCTCCACCTGCTGCAGCTGGGCACCATAGGCACTGATGGCTGCCTCCAGGGTTCCTTCATCCATGCTGACACTTGGCACAGGACAGGGACAGGAATGGACAGCATGAAGCCTCCAAGACCACTGAGGAAAAATAAGATGATAGATTTAAAGTAGAGATAAGTTAAGAGATAAAAGCAGAATGAGTAGATCACATGAGAATTCAATCATTTCCTGTAATGCGTATTTTAGTGACTATCTATTAATAACATGGTCCAAGGACATTGACAGACTGAGTGGGAAGGCCACAGTCAATGACAAGATAACTGAAGTCAAAGGAATACAGTTACGTTACCACTAAACTAACATTATATGATTTACTGTATTAAAAGGTAAATACAAAACTAGTCCTGCTTCATACACTAGCGGTATGTTAGGGCATGTTTTCCGTAAGATTCATAAATCCCCCGTATATCTAATTAGGTACCATTGCAAAACAATTTAACAGAACGTTAACGTTTAATAGCAAACCATGGTTAATTTTAGAGGTAGTGTTAGCTAAATATTAGCCGTTTTTAAGCTAACGTACAACTGAGCATAATAACAGTAGACACCTTTGTATTTAGACTAGCTGTCTGACATCCACTGCAAAGACGGAAAACGTCACAGCCATGAAAACAACGTGCTATGTTAGGAAAAGAAGAAAACCATTAGCTGAATTCACATAATGGATCAGCACAGTGACAACATGGACCGGTCCTGTAGCAAGCTAGCAGACGAGAATGAATTATATCAGTTCCTTTCAAAATAAAATTGGCTTTAGATGGTGGAGGTTTTCGACAGCTAACTACGTATTGACAATACGAAGTTGGCAGTCAGAGGCTGAATGTATTGTATTGTTTTGTTTATATATGTATAGGTATTGTTTATTATAGATTTCTATACGGTTTTCTTTTTCACAGTAGCGCTTTATATTATTTTATTCTGAAAATCCAACCGACGGAGCAGGAAAACTCATGTTATCCTACGTCATTCGAGCGCCATGGACGCAGAAACATGACGTTTCTTGTGGGTGGAGTTCAGCAACTTCACCAATGTGATGTTAAAATCTTATATTTATAATAAAGCCATTTATATAGGCTTATTTGGCCTTGCAGCGGGTCCACTAACTTCTGCTAATGTGAAGGTAGGCTAACTGTCTGGTGACGCCTGTACCGCAGCCTCAGCAGCATGCAGGATGCTGTCAGCTAACTAGCACGATGCATGTTCTACTGTTACTGCATGTACATAGTATTGCTATGTATCTGTTTCTTTACGCTAATAGTTTAACGTTTAACTTTTCTAAAGGGCAATTGGTAGATGATAATAAGTACATAATACAGCACTGTCCAGACAACTTACTACTTCCTTGGAACAACAAAATACATCAACAATGTCTCTGGCAATACAAAACAAAACCAAGACCAGAAGCAACACCATAACCAGGCTCAGCTTTGACCTCAATAAGAATGTCCAGAGGACAGTGTCAACATTCAGACAAAATACAATCCAAAATTCAATTTTCTTGACTAAAGGCTGATTGACCAATTTTTTAAATTAGATATAACATTTAGTTAAGAAGTCAAAAGCAGGTAAGATTGGTGGCTGGTCAATAACATTTTCAGTGCAAGTGTTAACAATTGTTATACCGTTAGGTCAGAAAATACTCATCTCAATAGGTCTATTTTGTAGGACAGAGCTGAAAAATAAAGATAGGTTTTTTGCATAATATGCTTGAATTTCCTATCTATACCTTTTGTTTTTTTGTGCGGTTTTCTCTATGTATGTTGCAATTTTATTACAACATTTTTAATTTCATAACCGTTATTTTTATGATATACTGTCTGTACTAACTCATTGTTTACTTACTTGTAAACAATTGTCAATGTAACTTTCTGATTACATAAAGTACATTTAAATATCACCGCAAAAAGTACTTGGCCAACATGGCAGGTGACCAGCACAGTTTTAATCTCAAAGTTATAATGTTGATTATTTTAGCTCTAAAATAAATTCAATTTAGTTTATTTTATTATTTGACTAGTACAATTTCAGTGAACTGCAATACTGCCTGTTCTTTCAATTTGTGCATTAATACTTATTTGATCTATCTTCTATCCCTCTGCACTTCTTCATTAAAGTGACTCCTGCAATCATGCCTACAATCATGCATCAGATCAGTGATCCAAAGATCGCCTTTGCCTACCTGCGCCCGGCCTGTGTCCTCCTCACCAAAGCTCCCACAGTGACCGACGTGGAGACGCTGAGCGCTCAGCTAAAAGAAATCGACGATGCCACGTTACAGCAGCTCCAAGAGTACGTCCTCTTCCCTCTTCGTTTCGTACTCAAAGTCCCTGGGACAAAGAAGGACAAACTGGTGCAGGCTGTGGCTGAGGCCATGAGCCACGTCCTGGAGACCACGTGTGTCCAGAGCTGGGAGACTCTCCGGGACCTCCTGTCAGAGCTCTGCCTCTGCCTGTGCACTCCTACCGATCCTGGGAAACCTGCAGAGACTTCAGAGGAGCTGAAATCTGCCCTGCTGAGGTGTCTGGACGCACTGCTTCATGCCGCTTATGGTGATATAATCTTCAAACTCTTTGAACCGATCATGCTTCCCGGCATTGGATCTGCCATATCGCTGCTGCTGGCTCTGGGAGAGAAGGAGAGATCTCGAGACGTACAGTTAGCAGCGCTGAAGTGCCTCCAGGCTCTGACTCTGCAGTGTGACTGCACTCAGGAGCATGTCGTCCCATCGTCACAGGAGAGAGGTGCTCTAGGCAGCACCATGGCTTCATTCTTACCTGGGATTACCATGGCTGTATCTAGGATCATTACAGGAGATCTGAGACATGGCCATGCAGTCACAGTCAGGGCGATAAAGGTACCTGTGTTCACTTTTATTCCCTATGTGATGATGCAAGCTCGCATTTTGTAACAAAACTTGCTACAGGTCATTCATTGTGGTGAGGTATCTCAGGTCTGAATCTTTATTTAGTCCTGTATTGTTGAATTATGAATGGATTCCACATACATAATATATTACTACACAATTAGTGTTATTATTAAAACTGTGAGTAAGGATTCCTAATCCATTTGTAATAAAAAAATGCTAAGCAACTGATGCTTGCAGCTTCTTATATATATATATGAATACTTGCTACTTTTCTTTATTTGACATGTTTACTATTTTCTGATCTTTTAGAGACTACAAAGTTATTTGGTTACTTGTAATTTATGGTCAATACGTTGATTATTTCTCTTGATTAATTGATAAGATATCCCAAGTTGTGAGGACCCAAGGGGACTTCATCAAAACATCTTTTAGTTTGAACTCACAGTCCAAAAGTTTAAGATGATAGAAAATAATGTTTTTGTCATATTAACTTCAAGTGTATCCTAACACTATATACTGGCTTTTTTACGCTGCCACATATAACATTAAAGGCAGGATGCAGTTATTTATTTTAATTCATGACATGTTTACAGAATCACCCACTTTATATATCAGTTTATATATCAGTAGACTTTATGTGTTTACTTAATTTTTAATTAAACTCTGGCGCGGGGGCTAAATAGCATCTACCAATGAGAATGTCAGCTGTTCAATCCCAGCCCCTGTAGCTAACATGTTGAAGTGTCCTTGGGAAATAAACTTAACCCCAAATTGCTAAAGTATTGAATGTTTGTAAGTTGCTTTGGATAAGATCGTCAGCTAAAAAGCATCTTAATGTACTGTAATCAAAAATGCAGAAGGAGAATGTCCATCATACCTTTCCAGTTTTACAGAGAGTATAACGATCTTTGTATAGATTTGTTACAATAACTTTGTAATTGCCTAAAGCAAACATGTCTTCTCTTCTTTAGAGTGAAACAAAAGTGTTTAAATCACTTTAAATATGTAATTCAATGATTCCTTTTTTTTTTAATCTCCTTTACTGTGGTTCTCATTCAGGTTTGGTACAGGACTGTGGGGCTGGTGATGGAGGACGCCCAGCTCCAGGCCGGTGAGCCCTGCAGGACTGCCCCACCAGACCTGGGGAGACTCTCTCAGCTGATGGTCCATCGCTCTCAGGACTGGGTGAAGAGCACCGCGGGGAGACTCTCTTCGCTCCTGAAGAAGATCATCTCCTGCTCCTCGGCTCACCAGCACTGGAGGGTCCGGCTGGAGATGGTGGAGCTGGGTGAACACCTGCTGGCCCGGTGCAGCCGCTCACTGGGGGAGTGTGTGGGGCTGCTGCTGGAAGCCCTGGTGGGGGCAGTCAACGATGAGGAGCCCAGAGTCAGGAAGAGGTTGGATTTGATTTACGTTTTTGTGAAATAAACTGATTTTATATTTTAAATGAACAAAACTACATAATACAGCTTCAGTCAAGAAATAGAATAAAGATTCAAAGGTTTTACTGTCATATACACAATAGCTACAGGATAGTTGTTGGCAATGAAAAGTTAAGTACCATGCTCCTCCAATAGTGCTACAATGCTCGTATAAAACACTTAAGGTATAAAAAGAAAAATACATTACATAATGCGATAAAGGAAAATAACTAAAATAGACAATAACAAAAAAGCCTGAGGTATATTACAGTAGACAAATTCATTATAAAACACAGATATATACTGTATAGTTTCTTGAAAGCCTTTATGTTGGTCTAATTAGAAGTAGTTTCACATAATGCTTGATATCCTACTGGAAAACAAAAATGTATTGTTTTTATTGTTACATCAACAAAACATCATTCTTAAATGTATTATGAAAAAACATCTTATCTTCTTAACACCACATTTCTTCTCAAAAAAAGAAAAATGATCAATAATAAATCTGCAAAACACTTTCTAAAAGTTAATCCCAGAAAGAACATTTTGCGTTAATGTCTTTTTTCAATTCTGCGTGTATCGGCCGGGTAATATCTATTATTTGAAATAAACTTCTTTCAACTTTGTTAACAATAAGGTATGAATAGGACAGCATGAATACATTATTTTAATAGACCTCCTTGAAAGAAATTATTCCTTTTTGCCATGAATGCTATTCTGATGAATGTAGTGAGAAACACGTTTAAAAACTATAGCAAATCTGGGAAATTGTATACAAAAAAATGATCTTTAAGTGAACGAACTTTAACAATATTCTCACTAACAGCATTTGGATCTAACACCATCTCATAAAAAAAGCAGTTGGTACTCAGACTACTTGATAAAATATGTTGAATGAAACTTGTCCTCTCCTGTAGGTGTGAGGTTGTTCTCAGAGAGGTCTCCCAGAGGAACCAGAGCCGCAGCAGTGATATGAACAGCAGCAGTGCTCAGACCTTCACTGACATCCTCTCAGAGAACCTCCACTCTTTGGCCACCTCCCTCCCCAGACTGATGAGGACCTCTGACGACCAGAAGAAGCTGTTTGTCCTCAACGTGTTTCTGGGTTATTTAAAGGTCCTGGGCTCGCAGGTCTCCGTGGTGCTGAACTCTGCTGCGCATCTCCAGAGGATCTCCAAAGCCTTGATGCAGGTAACCTGTCAGATTACACTTCATATTCTGTTTGAATGGGAATCAGAATAATGCATGTCTTCATGACTGTTGTATATCCGATTAGGTTAAGTAAATCCAGCTAATTGATCATCAAATACAACTAGAGAATGCAATTCCTGAAGAAATTGCTAGTGGGAATGCTTTATGCTGAAAAGCTGACGCTGAATTGCTAAGCTGAAATGTAATGTGTAAGAAGAAAGTGAAGAATTTAGATTGAAATGATACATGAACACTGGGGGCTTGAATGTGTGATGAGAGAAGAAAAGAAAGTAAAAAGGCTTGGAAAAGCAGCAGAATATTTGAACTGCAAACTTTTGAACTAACTTGATGGCGAATGATCTGTCGCCATGGCAACGGCATTTGATGACACCCCCATAATACGCTTAGATGTGTTGATGGCTGCATCGTTACCAAACCTGTGAAGTTTTGGGCCGTTTCGAGCATTTGAACTGAAGTTGTGAGAAAACCGTGTTTCATAATGAGCATTGTGTTGCCAAGGCAACGGCATTTGAAGAAATCTTAAAACTGTCAAATAGATGTCTTCACGGCTGGACTGTTAGCACACATGTGAAGTTTGAGCACTTTTTGACCATTTTCATAGGAGTTATAGCAATATCGTGTTTTACGGCGAGGGATGCGTTGCCATGGCAACAGCTTTTGAGGAAAACTCACTAATGGCACATAGACATGTTGAAGGCTGGACCATTAACCATTATCTGAAGTCTGCTGCTCTGAGCATGTCAGTTGGAGTTATGACATCATCGTGTTCCATGACACAGGTGTTTATATTTGAGCTAACGACGTGTCCAGAGATCAAAGGTTTCCATGGTTATGTGCAGTAATCAGTGAGAGGAGAGCATTTGCATTGTCCTGAATGAGAGATAAACCTCTTACATGTGAACGTTTAGTTGAAGAACCGTAACAGATATCGGTGAAATTTAAAAGCGTGAAGCATCTGAAGGAAGTTGAGCATCTGAAGTGTGCTTTTTGTGTACTTTCGGGTTAATAATGTGGCCTTTTTGGCAGATTAACTAAAGGTGTGCTGTGCGGAAAGATCAGCTTGAATTTACAATTGGCTTTAATGGAGACATGTTGAACGTTTTTGTCACTTCATGCCCTCAAGAGGCATTTTGTTTAATTATTTTGCTTAATTTTTTTTCATTTGTCAAGCTACGAGATGTTTTCCTACGTTTGTCATGACAAATTATGTAGGGTTTGGGAATTATGGCAGGTTTAAAAGAAAATATGAATGCGAATTTCAAGCTGTCCTCCACTCTAGCTTTGAGATCACACACCTTAATGAGCTGCTCAATACAGACTAATGTTAAAATCTGAAGAAGGCCTCTTTACCAAGGTCTGAACAATGTTTAATATTTCTAAAAGTGTGAATCAGATTTAAAAGTTGTTTAACATGAATAATGTCAGAAAGATGTGTAACATTTTAAAGTTGGAATGAGGTTTCTGAGTGAAAGTATGAATGAACAGTTAGCAGTTGAAGTCGCATGAAGATTTTTCAAGTCTGAAGAGTTTCTCCATTGACTTCAATGTAAAAAAAATGGATGAATTATGGGATGTATCTCTGGAATTATGAAAGTTATGAATGAGAAAATTAATAGCCATCGATTCCCGACCGAGCTGAACGTTTTAATGTTTGAACGGAGTTTCTGCAATGTGGAATGTGGGAGAAGAAGAGGCGCAAAATAACCCGGCGGAATAATAAAGAATTTCGTGCGTAGCATAACAGATAGTGGGAATGCTATATCAGCATTCCCACTAAATTATACACACTGATTAAAGGAAGTTAAAGATCTCGTGTCGTCACTGAACCAGAGTCACAGCTGATATCTTGATCTTCATTACCAAGTGTCATTATGATGTCATTGTTAACCCTAATAATACTGAAGCATATGATATTCTCATTGTTATTTATGACATATCTGACAGGGCTTGGTACTTTCAAGTAAGAAAGTATTTGGATTCTAGTGTCACTATAATAGAATTGTTATCATTTTTTTATTTTTTTATTTAAAGCTAACCCAACCCACATCACAGTTTACTTTTATCTTGTTTTTACAAAATTCCCTTTTACATTTGCAAAGGTATCAATATAATGTAGAGATTGTGATTGCAGTCCTTTCATGTATTTAAAAAAAACAACACGTAATGTAAATAGCTTATTATATAATCATTATACAATATCTCAGAAATACAATATTTGATTTGTTTAAATACTTTTGTCATTAAAATCTATATATTAATAAACACAATAAAAACACACCACTTTAACAATAAAAAACTGAATAATCTCATCCCACTCAAACAACAACTAGTTTCATATGAGACCCCTCCCTGAATCTGACTTTGCCTGCTTTTATTGTTTCTGTCCTTATTTTATAATGAAAGCAAACTTAAACCACAGTATAGAGATGTAACACTTTTGTTAAAAACACAACAAACACTCTGTGCTTTACAGGTGCTGGAGCTGGATGTGATGGATGTTCGCATCGTGGAGGAAAGGAGTTACGCTGCTACCATAGAGACCAGCTCAGACTCTTATAATTCCTACGCTGCTCGCATACAGAGAAGGCATTTTCTCTACTTCACAGATGAGAAGATCTTCTCTCTACTCATGGAGATCTGTAGAACATTAGGTATGAGCGCTCTTTGATATTTATAGGAAGAGACTGTAGAAAAATCATCAAACTTCTTATAATTTTGCATACTTTATTTCTGTGTTGAATTTCTCCTCACAAAAATATAACAAGTACCTTTCCCTCTTTTTATCTTAAGGTTACTACGGCAACATTTACCTGCTGACAGATCACTTCCTGGATCTGTACCAGCAGTCCTCAGCGTACAGGAAGCAAGCTGCCATGGTGCTGAATGAGATCGTCAGGGGCGCAGCAGGAATCAGCGTGGCAACAGAAGCTCAGGGTTTGGAGAGTCAAGTATGGGGAAAGTCTGTCACCCAGGACGACCTTAAAGTAGCAGTGGTGTCCATCATGGAGGAGTACACCAGTCTGAACAACTGGCACCTGATCACCGTCAGCGAGGAGACAGAAAGAGACCGACAAGACCAGCAGGTCAGAATCAGAATACCTTTTTTCTGGGGAAATGTGCATTTGTTACAGCAGAAAAGAGCCAAAGACAGCTTAATATTAACTAAGAAGCATGCATTAAAAAAATATTATATTAAAGATACCCATTTAAAAAAAATACACACCCTGTAACAGTTTTGAAGATAAAGCAGCCATGTATATATATTGCACAGTTATTAACGGCATATATATATATTGCACATCATTTGTATTTCACAACAAGGGGTGTTATAGCATAGTCTGTGTTGTTGTGTGTGTGGGGGTCTACCAGGGGCCGTGGTGGTTACATAGTCTGACCGCTGCATGAAGGAAGGACCGAGGAGAGTTTCAGACCTGCAGCGTCAATATTTTGTCCTGAATCACAATTTCACTTTCTTTGAATTGTAACAATTATTAGGGTCTGTATTTGTATTTTCTGTCTCTACTGTGATATGTTTCCATACTTTAATGCTCTTCTCACCCTCTGTCTGAAACCAGAGCCCAGTCTGCTCTGATTGGTTAGCTGGCCGGCTCTGTGGTGATTGGTCAACTGCTTATAGATGTCCTGTCTCTTAGACTATCATGTATAATGTAAACAAAGGAGTCCATTGGAGGCGTTTCAGGCATTGGGGTAGTGTGTGGGAGAGAAACTCTGTAGTGTGTTACATAAATATGTACACAAACATATGTAACACACTTAAAGGAAAGGGAAAACTCCCAAAAGCAAAAAAGGGCCCGTTTAAAGTCCTTTAAATTGTAAAATAGGGGTGGTTGCAATGTATCGTCCTTTGGGCTTTGAATATTGCATCATCATCACCATCTTAAATTCACTGATCAGCTATCTCTCTGGGAATAATCATCATGTGTAATGGATGATCCCGCTCTTGGTGGAATGATATTCTGAAGCACGAGTGATACCCTGACTTTTAATTTCATTGATCTCATTTTGTATTCTGTGAACACTTTCTAATCAAGTGTGATATTAGACTCCGATCATGGTCAGATCAATTCGCTCCAAACAAAGGAAGGTATTCACGCTCACAGTCTGTCCTTGGACTGAGCGCTGAGTGCTTTTATGCCTGAACACTCTGAGCAGGTTTCCCAGGTTTCTGCTCTCAACCTTCAGGGCTGAATTCTTGAGCTGACAGGTAGAGAAATATATTTCAGGCCCTGAAAACATTATCAGTACTGTGCTAGTTTGTCGATAAACTTGCAGTTTCTCTTTGTCAGCTAAAGTGTTAGCCCAGAGGCACCAACATCAAAAGTATTCCAAGGACAGAAATATACACCAGTGAGAGGGGGGGTTTGTTCACTGAGAGACGGCTGTGGGGTCCTTCCTTCAGTCAAAGTACAATCATTAAAGGAAAGAAGAATAGATGAACATGGTAGAAACTACAGGCAGTTAGCTGTTTATGCTGACAACAGTTTTAATGCAAAGTTTTGCACAGACACTGTCTTTACTGTGTAATGATAAATCATAATAACAGCTAGTTACCAATGACTGATGTGAGCTATATTCATTGTTTACAGTCAAACAAATAGGCTTTTATTGATTGGAGGTTTGAACAGCCATTAGTGTAAATGCATTATTGTAACGTATTGTTTTTAATGTTTGAATGTAGTGATATTGATTTGACTCGGCTATGCATGTTTTTGAAATGAACGTAACATATTTTATTTGTCAAATTAAAGGTACCTTGTAGAGTTTTCTTTTAAAGTGGACCTATCATGCTATATTTGAATAATATAGTGTAGGACCATACCTATATAAGGCATATTTATACTTTTTTTTCAAAATACCAAACAGATCATGCATTTTAGCCATGCCTCATTTTGCTCAATTTGAAAATGTTTAGCTCTGGATTTGCAAGGGAAGATTCAGTGAGAACAGCACCATCTACTGGCCTGGCATATGTACTACAGCGTCTCCAGCGCTTTCGAACGGCAATGGCCGTGGCTGTCTCCTCCTGATTGGTGGAGTTGGCCCAATAGCCGTAGCGCCACTGTCCTGGCGTCAGGACAGTGTTCAAATCTGGATCAGTTTTTATCAGATCCGTTGCAGCCCCTTTTTTAGAGATGTGGGTATGGAGGAAAATAGAGAGGGTTGTATTTTCTGACACTTGGTGAGTTCCCTGGAACACCGGGGACACATATTCATGTATAAAAGACGTACAAAAGTGCATTTTGCATGATAGGTCCCCTTTAAGTAAAGGTACCATGTAGAGCAGGGGTACTCAAACTTTTTTATTAAAGGTCCACTTGTGAATTTTATACAAGGTCACTGGTCCGGATCAATGCCAGTAAAGCATTACTTTTACTCCGGAGCGGAGAAACGAAACTGAAATTAAGAAGCAGTTTCTTGAGGGGGTTTCCCGACATGTCGTTGCAGTGCACTTGCCTGCTTTGCCTGTCGGCAAACGGCGCCCGTGTATACACACACACATTCAATACATACATACAGTATGGTGGCTTGAACTAGTGGGAGAAATGGCACTGTTTGTCTGTAGCCAATGCCTTGAACCTCTGCAAAAAAGGCATTGGAAGCATTAGTAAGTCAAGGTAAACTTGCGGTTAAATTGCGGTCTGCAATGCGTGTGACGCTCGCGCACACAAGGACCTTGGTCCGGAGTTTGAGAAGCCCTGGTGTAGAGGTTTCCTTTGGAAAATAAAAAATTAAAGGTACCCTGTATAGTATATTTATAAAATAAAATATGCCTTGTACAGTATATTTTATAAGTTAAAGATGCCCTGTATAGTATTTCTGTAAAATTATAGGTGTCCTTTACAATATTTTTGTAAAGATTAAAAGAACCACATGGAGACTAACATATTGAGAACATTTGCTTTCTCATACTGTAAAAGTACAAAAAAAAAGGTTTGAAGCCTATTATGTTTGCGTTAATGTTTGCTAGCTGGCTGTCTTCTTTGCCTCTTTTTTAAATGTACTATATTTTCTTTGTGCTTTACTACCAACACAAATTGTCAACGAGGACTCACTTTTATAAACATTGCTCAACTTCTGATAAAAAAACTCCACAGGGTACCTTTAAGATCCTTAGAAGAAGAAGAATGTAAACTTATCATTTTTTTTATTGACCTTTTTATTTACAAATTGAAACGCTATTGAAAAAATAACATTATGATGCATGACACTGACATTTCTTTGTTATCTCTCTGTAGCTGCTCAGCCCCTCCAGCCTCCTCTCCATATCCAACAGTAACGTCGGCCACACTCAGACAAACTCCATCCAAGAGATTTCTTCATCCTTCGGCTCGCAGTCTTCCTCACCATCAACCTCCGCCCTCCACCAGCTCAACAGCAACATCTGGCAGCTGTGTATCCAACTGGAAGGCATCGCCTGCTTCGCTCAGGCACTGGGGCGGGACTTTCGGCCTCTTTTGATGACATCACTGTACCCAGTACTGGAGAAGGCCGGAGAGGAGACGCTGCTGGTGAGCCAGGCGGCGCTGGGCTCTATGTGGGACATCAGTAAGGCCTGCGGGTACCCCTCCCTGAAGGAGCTGATCACTGAGAACTGCGACTACCTGCTCAACGACATCTCACTGAACCTGCAGAGGCTCAGCCAGCATCCACAGGTAACACGTTCAGTATGCTGCTCAATGCACAGGAGCAAGAGACAAAAAGAGACAAAAAGAGACAAAAATAAATAAAGAAGGTTGAGGGTAATTGTTATGGTCTTTTGTTGATGGTATAGTTTTTATACATATTTATATTTTAACATTACCTGAGCATAAATGGTTGTGCAAATTAATAAGGCGGCAATTAAGAATTATTTATATTACCAATATATCTGTCGTCTGACAAAAATTATGTCGTCGATAGAATGTACAAAAATGCTATAAAAAATGATCTCTTAACATTTGCTTCGTCCATCCAAAAGTCAAAAACACGAAAATAAGAAAACAGTGAATAATATAATTGTTTTGCTGGATGAATGATTTGATCAATTATTTAGAGATCTTGGAGATTACGTTTTTGTAGATCATGATCAGTTCACAGTCAACCCACAGGAATAGCAGTAGCTGTTTATATTTTTTATGGGGTACTAACAGATGATGAATGAATGAATATGGCACACATAAAAAGTCTACTATAACTATAAGAGCCAGAACTTAGTCCAAGGTAAGTTAAAGTTACCAAGTTAAAATCCTCTATTGTGTGTTTTGAGTCCTAAACTAAACATTCCAAGTCAAATCAATCAATCAAATATTATCTATATACCCTATTATCACAAATTACATATTTGTCTCAGGGGTCTTTTCAGTGTATAATCTATATGACACCTTACACCCTTGAAGCGCACAAGAAAACACTCCCAAAGAAACTGCACAATTAATGGAGAAAAAAATGGAAGTGGAGAGCAACAGAGCAGAGGTAGCTCTCTCAGGACGGAGAGACGTGCAATAGATGTAGTGTCTAAAGATTTAAAAGTATAATACATTTACACCATAGACAGTCAAAATGACAAATTTCATAATATGAGCATCAGAAATCTCCCTGGTGCGGCCAGAATAATAACCGTAATCATTTAGTCACATGAGGTCACAAGTCAACCGTATTAAGTAAAGTACATTTTGCCGAGTCAAGACATATTTCATCATATTCATGACACGAGTTTGACTCTAGTCCAAGTCACGAGTCCACACCTCTGTTCTGAACACTGTTAGTAAGTCTCTATAGGTTTGCTGGCAGCTGTGTGTTTCATCATATCTGTGTGTTGGTGACCAGGCTCCCCGGGTGCTGACAGTGATGCTGACTCACTCTGACTGCAGCCTGCTGCCTCTGGTCGGGGACATCGTCCAGGACGTGCTGATGGCTCTGGATCTCAGCTACCAGCACACAGCTGCTCTCTTCTGCTCCGTGCTGCACGCGCTCCTGAAGGCTCTGGGTGAGCTTTCTAAAGTGATGTCTTTACCTAAAATCACCTACCATCTAGAGAAATTATGAGTTAGGCAACCAATGCACGGAAACACAATATTCCTATTTTCCAACTTATCCTAAAGTGATGGCAGCATTGATAAAGATTTTGTGCTCCATCTTTAATCACCACCAGAGCCCATACCATGTTCTCTATAGTGACATCCTGTCTGTCTACTTCTGTTGACTTCTGTGACCTCCTGTTCTCTGTGTCTTTTTACCTCTTTCCTTCGATTACGCACCTTTAAAATATATATAAAAATGAAAGTATTCCAGCGAGTTTTTCATGTAGAGTATCAGACAGAAAGATTATCCGTTTTTTTAGGCAACTGATACTGTAGGTGAGTAAATTGTATGGATGCGGATTGATTTGACTGCACATCGTATTCAGTTCAGAGCGTCCTTAGGAGTGTTCTGCTATCGAGAAAGAGCAGACCTCTGAATTTCAGAACTGAGTATTCAACCAAGCCATGTAATAAATAACTATAAAACCCAAGATAAATGACTCGGCAGAGAAACTCCTCCAAACGATGTCATAAAAGCCTTCTTACCATTTTCCTCCTGTGGTAAGAAAAACAATTCTTCCTCATCAGCAAAACATTTGTTTTCTCAAATAATGCGTTACTCTTACCATAAAATCAAAGCATCTGTTATCTCAAATGTTACATCACTTTAGAAAACCATTTGTTATAAGTTATATTTAATTAGGATTACACTTTATCAACACTTTAATGCGACAATTTCCATTACATGTCAAATCATTTATCACATGTGACAAGCGTGAAAAAGGTTAGGGTCAAATGGTAACAGGTGATACAAACAAAACAAAATAAAGAAAAATATCTTGCTCTTGTTCTAACCCACTCTTGTTCTTTTTCCTTTAGCAAGGTGGTTCCCCTCAAATTCTAGTAGGACCAGTAACTCCGTCAGACCCAAGCAGAACCCGCCTCATGAAGAACTCTTCAACATCCGACAATTCATGCTGGATCACCAGAAAGAGAAAGAGCTGGCAGAGGGCATTGGAATAGAGGACGACCTTGAAGATCTTAACGGTAACACAGTATGGTGTCTGTATGAGGACAACATAGGAAGTTCTATTTCACTCTTGTATAGGTTTATGTTAGTTGAAATGTATCAGTATTTTTGAATTACAATCACTTAAATACTGCTTATAACTCTAAAAACTGTTTGTCCAAGTATGAACAATCTGAAATTTGATAACTCACACATGATCCATCTTACCATCGTGTCTCTCCAGAGAACCCCCCTCCCCTGGAGTGTGAGGATGTTGATGATATTGGTGGTCCTGATGTGAAGGCAGAGCTCCCCCTCCACCTCAGCGTCACTAAAGATATAATGGAGCGCTGCATTCACCTGCTGTCGGACCCCAGTCTCAGACTCAGGCTCAAGGTACTGTTTGTAGTGGGATTCAGTGAGAAGGGGTCTGGTTTTGGTTTTGATGATAATACTCCTAGAGAGGATTGTTTAACATTGTAAAGGAACCTGTAGATCTTTTTATAAAAAATGAATTTCTTTCCTTGACATTGTTGTGACAGAGCCATACATGATACCATCATGAGGATGCACTCATCTGATTGTTATATTGTTTAGCAAATGCAGTATTTGGTTAATAATTAATCACTCGATTCAGAGTGTCTTATTGTGGTTGGACGTCCATCTCTTATGCCTAACTCTAGATCTAAGCCATAGAAGCTGAAGAAAAAGGCCATCATTGTGCAGCCAGTTCAAGATTTAGTTCCATGAATAGTTATAACGACAGAAATATATGGAGCTAACAAGCTAAAAGTTACAAGTGAAAAGTCTACAGTTGTGCTACGGAACACATTTGTGTGTGCATTGAAAAACACAAGTGTGGATCCGGAAATACAAGTGTGAGTCCTTTTGTGGATCATGAAATACAAGTGTGAATCCTTCTGTGTGCATGTGTGTATTATGAGACTGTTCTGAGCCCATAAATATTAGCATGTTAACATGTTCACAATGACATTGCTAGTTTGTGGCTGTTTTTAAGCAAATATAAGTCAGCCATCTCAAGTTAAATATCTTAATTTAGCGTATAGCATGCTAACCTCTGCTAATAACCTCTTAGTGTAAAGTAACACTGAGGCTGATGATTCGTTCGGCAGGTATTTGGTCATAAACCAATGTTCTGGTGATATTAAAGTTCATCCTGATGATGGAATTAGTAGCAAATAATGTACCAGAAATGTATCTCAAAACCAGAAATATCAACCTCATGAGGGTGCCAGTGGATAACTGAAGATGTTGGGTTCACTGTGCAGTCACCATTAACATATGAACCACATTTCAATCCCTCCAAATGCTGTTATTAATATTGAATTAGTGAATTAACTTCCCCAGGACAACTCCCAACTGTAACAGTGACAGTACCGAAACAATCAGTATTAAGTAAGATAATAGACAGACATTTTCTAAAAAAATAACCCACTGTACATATCAGCTGATACAGGCAAGTAGAAAGTATTGCTGTAGAAAAATATTGGTTCCCACAAGCTTCAGACCTCCATGTGGTCTCCAGAGGTCAAATTACCTTAAAGCTACTTGTACACATGTATGTGTATATACTTCAAATATACACCAATGTATATACTGCGTGTCTCTGTCCTCAGGTGCTAGATGTGCTGGAGCTGTGTGTGTGTGTACTCAGTGAGAAAGAAAATGAATTGCTGCCAATGGCCCATCGCTGCTGGCCCCCCCTCCTGCAGAGACTCACAGCCGATGACCCTTTAGCGGTCCTCCGAGCTTTCAGGGTACGTAAAACAAGCGGCACTTTACTCAGTTATCATGATTGTAAAAAAAAAAAAGAAGCCTTTTCCTGAAAACTGTTAACGATAAGCAGTATTCATAAATCTTATTTCAAAACATTTTTAACTAACAAGACAGGAACATCATTTTCTTTGGTTGATTTTCTTCCCAAGAGCTGACTGATTAAAGTATTTCAGAGAATCAAAGAGCTCCCTTTCGGTTAAAGATCACACTTGTTTGTGATCATTTTGCAAAGAACAGGTGTCAATTGATCCTACTGTCAATGTGAATTAGTCTTAAGTTTGACAGTTTTTATATATTTTTGTCACATTTTCCCTGATGAATTGACAACATCAGACATCTGTATCTTGTCATTTAGTAACTGAAGCTTTTGGGTTTCTTCAATGTTTCTGTAAATATAGTGTCATTTGTCAGATCTGTCAACAAACATTGCATCGACATTTTATCCATTTTGATGTGCATTTTCTTTCTGCCAGGTGTTGTGTACGCTGGGTGAGACATGTGGCGACTTCCTGAGGAGGAGGGTCTCCAAAGAGGTCTTGCCCAAGCTGAGCTCCTCTCTGCTGCGGCAGGCCCCGACCAGCGCCAAGGCCGGGCCCGTCTACACACACACTCTGAACTACAAACTGCAGCTGGCTGTGCTGCAGGGCCTGGGCTCCCTGTGCCAGAGGCTGAGTCTGGGTAAGAGAATAAACACACACACACAGGTTGCCAAAGACACACCATTCACTATCCTCCTCTATGATTGTGCACGGTATGATCCATAATATCAAAGTGATCATACCAGATACAAGTGGTCACTTGATCATGGTTAATTTAGACTTGACACAGTACTTTTCCTGAAGAAAGTTGGTGCAACATTATTGCAATTTGAGCAACAACATATTCAGGATAGATTACTGGAACCTACTCTATAAATAATTACATATTATTTGTAATAGTATAGTATAGTATATAGTATAGTTACTTAAGGCTCTGACATAATTTAAGCTCTGATAAATAACCAAAATGAAATTTCTGAAAGTCAAGCCATTACAAGGTATAATCTTCAATCATAAAGATTCATGCAAAATCATCCTTTGTGCAGCCTTATTTTAAATAATCCTCATTTAACAAATTGTTATACTTCTGTATTAAAGGAATAGTTCAACATCAAGTATAAAGCTTTAGGCAGGATAGGGTCAGTAAAGGAAGGCGTAAAACTTGATTAGAGGTAAATTACTGACCAAATCTGCCTAAAGTCAAATTGCCTACAGTTAAAAAAGGTTTGAAGCAGTGTTATTTACTCATTTAAAAGTAACTTGTTTTTTTTAACCCGAAAATAAATAATGCTTGAAAAAATGTTAAAAGAATAAAAATAAGACAATTTGAGATTTTAAGAGGCTATATATTATTTCTGACTAAGTCCTAGGTTTTTGTTTGGCTCTCTGTGAGTATTATATCTGGCAACCTTGTCATGAAGTCTTTATGGTCATGAAAAGACATGTGGAAGCTCAAAAAAAAAGAAAGATAAATACTTCAAAAACTCTGCTGGGACTACTTGTTGTACCTTAAAATATACATTTAGTTTTATTGATTCTACACTAAATATTGATGGAAGTAAACACTTTTCTGCTCCCAGCCACAAAAGCCACCTAATTTCTGGGATTCGGTCACAGAATCTTGCACCCAGGACACACAAACAGTAACTTGTTTTACCAGCAGATGGCAATCTTGTTTAACGGTACAAATATGTCAGGAGTATTATGGGAGCAGTTTGTGTATCTCCATTTCCCTGCTTTGTTTTTCTTGGAAGATATGATCCAGTTTTAAAATGTCTTATTATTCATACCATAATGTTCTTTTTGGTGTGGGTCACTATTTGGAACAAGACAGACAATACACTTTCTGATTGTTCCTTAACTTCTCAGATCAGTAATGTTTTATTCCCAGCAGCACCCAGCATGCCCTTTGCATTACACTCTTCAACACTTATGTCATTCCCACTCAGATATAAAATGGCACAGTACCCGTATAGGAGTTTCCTGACTAGGAAGGGTTCCCAGCTGTTGCAGGGCTTAAATTCAACATATTTTAAAGACAACTTTAGAGACATTACATTACATTGCATTTAGCTGACGCTTTTATCCAAAGCGACTTACAATAAGTGCATTCGACCAAGAAGATACAAACTTGAAGAAAACAGAATCATATAAGTACATCAGGTTTCATAGAGCCAAAACATTTCAAGTGCTACTCAACTGGCTTTAGATAAGCCAGTCCTTTATTAGTATATAAGTGCTCTGTTAGTAATTGTATTGCTCGAAGTGGAGTCGAAAGAGATGAGTTTTCAGTCTGCGCCGGAAGATGTGTAAGCTTTCTGCTGTCCTGATTTCAATGGGGAGCTCATTCCACCAGGATAGCAAACCGACGTGTTTTTGCTGATGGGAACTTGACTGCAGACCGTAGCCAACTGAGACAGCAGGATGCTGCAGAATCCTTAGTTGCACTCTGGATAAGTGCTGCAGGCAACTGTTCTCCCTCAAGCTCCAATTCACCACAATCAAGCTGTCAAATCTGCACAGCAATCAGCGAATCAAAAAGCGACAGGGTTGGAGGGAATTTAATGAATTAACTCAAAAATGCAATATGTTTTTTTTTACAATTGTGCATGGCATAGCTTCAGACTGTTCTGGAAGGTTTCAGCCAAAAGTGTCCTGGGGACTCATTGCCAGTGTGCTACTAATGATATAATTAGGAGCTGCTTGTTTAATTTTTCATAGATCATTGTGTTCATTAAGCAGCCATGTCCCTGTCACACAGCGGCGTTGGAAAATCTGAGCAACCTGAACCCCAAATGACACCAGTTTGGTTTCTTTTTTGTGTGCAGGTTTGATTGTATAAGTGTTTTTCAAACTATGTAATGAACATGACATGCTCATTAATTCCAGTAAGAAGTGGTGGTTTGCAATCAGTGATAAGAGGCCTTTTTATTAATTGGGTGGTGATCATAATCACTTCTTTTTCCAAGGACAAAGAGAATGCAATAAGTGCTTTATGGGGTGTAGCAGTAATAAATCAGCACACAATGGTTTGACACTGCTCTGATTCATTGGGCTCATTATTTGTGCTTTTGAAGTGAAAACATATTTAATTCTGATTTAAAGATATAATATCGAATATAAGGGAATTTGCCTACTGTAAATTACATTAATCTTATTATTAAAATAATTTCCTCCTGAAGCAGGACAGATTTGTGGGATTATACAATCTCAGTGAAAACTGATCTTTTTTTTATTTATTTATCTATAAAAACAACATGGTATCTTACTCTCATACAACAAACAAGTCTTACATAGAATATTATATGCAAAAGACACACGTATATTGAAATACAGGCAGACAGGTATTCAAATGTAACGATTTAAAGGGGACATATCATAAACATTCTCACATTTTTATTAATTGTGCATATAGGTTTTCTGGTAGTTACCAATACTGTAAAATAAGACAACCCAGTGAATTTTTGTGGGGTGCCTTAGTCAGAAAACACTTCATTCAACAAGACATTCAGAATTGGATCCCCTTCCCATAACCATTGCAGAGTCCTTAGAATATACCCCCCCATGTGATTAGTTAATTGGCATCTGTATCAGAATCGGCCAAATTGTAATTCCTAACATTGCTATTGGTGCATCCCTAAAACACACCGTTCTGTACCTCTTTAAAGAAGAAAATTGGTAACCTTTCTAATGTATTTGTTGGAAGCCTCCGGATTGTTCTTACATACTCCTTATAGCAAAAAGTGTTTTCACAATACTACAATGAAAGAGTTCTTTGTTCGACAGCCCAAGTTATGTTCATTAAAAATACAGACACTTCTAAAGAACCCACCTGCATTTATTGATACAATACCTACCTTTTCATCAACAAAAACACATGTAGACACATTCATACAGTGCAAATCGCAACCCCTAAGGTTGACCCCTTCTATTGGAACCATATCTCACCAGCTCATTCAACATTCCTTCGGTCTCCGTCTAAAAGCAGCAGCTCTGGGTGTGTTCGCATGGATACCAAAGTTTGCCTATTCTTTTTTCTCCCAGGTTCCCACAAGACAGAACAAAAAACCCTGCCTGCAGCCACAGATACAACATTAGGGGGTGAAATGATACATTTAGATTACAGTTTGTTTCATACTGGGATATCGCTTTGATATCATCACAGTATTGCAAACAAGTCAGAGTTAAAAAAGTCATGAATAAAAAATAATAATCTTTTATTTCCAAGGGGCAAAATGTATTTACTTAAATTTTATTTATTTATTCGAGCATTATAATTCAACACAATACAAATAAAAAACAGGAAAATAAATGATTCTGGACTCAGCTGTGAGTTTTAAAACTGCAAAATAGTTATACTTGTTATGTACGTCATTGTTATCTCACGGTCACTTACAAAAAAATATAGAAGTGGTGGATCTTTATCTGTAATTACCTCCCACTGTGTCAGTCAAACCTCATGAAAAAACTTCAAATTGTGTCTGTTGATGGGATAATTAGTTGTGTGGTAAAGTCACATTAGCTCAAATTACCGAGTCAATTAACTGAAAATATTGTCTTAATTAACCTTTTTTTTCACAAAAATGTGTCTCAGGGTTTCTTAACATTTAACAACCTATTAATGTGTCATACCCACTTAACGGGAAGAAACTCAGCTAACTGACGATATGAACCATTTTTACCGAAACAAAACACAAGTCTCACAAGAAGCGTCTAAATGAGGCCTGATCGAAAAAATGCTAACGCACTTAGCACATAACTCACGGTAGAAATACTTTATTACTTATCGGATCTGCACAAACAATTCCACAGATTCTAGGGGTATAAGTATCATCACTGAGCGATCAAAACTCGCGGGAGGGGAAGCAAACTCAGACATCACACGACGTAGCTTTACGGAGCAAAAACGAAAAATAAGTCTTACCGTTGCGGTTTTTCTGATCAAAATGGCATTAAAACGATAAAAACGCTGCTGAAGGTTAATCCATAGGTTAATCCAATGTGTCTGTTTCACTTTGAAATGATTACTGATAATCCATCATTCCATTTTTGTCAAAAACTGAGATTTCATATTAGCTGCTATTAGAGCTACAACCCAGCTTCCGGTTTTGGGCATTCTGGCTACGCATCCCTCTATTCACCAATGGGTAATGTTTAGATGGATTTTAGGAACTTCCCCTCGATTCTATTGGCTCTAACGGTTCAAAAGAGGTGTCAATCATCAAAATCGACCGAGGGGGGCCAGAGATATGGCAAATGCACCCAAATCTCTCTAAAAAGGTAAAATGTCACTTGTTTTGCATCAATCTTGATACAGGATACTTATTATAGTTTATAGTTTGGATTCGTAAAGCTTTTAGTCTACTATCCCATCATTCAAGGGTGGTTTTCACTATAAGTAATGTTTTTTTTTTTGGACGGACATTATAATTTACATTTCTTTGTATGTTCAATCTGAATTTACTTTAAAATAAAAAAAATCTATATTGATTCTGACTTTTCTACATCCAACTCACAGGTTTATCATTGCTTTGAGAAAAAAGATGATTAAACAATGACATCAGCGTCAGTCGAGCTTGCCCAAATGCGGACAAAATCTAGTTTAGGTAAAAGACTGCGCACATTCAAGTGGATGAATCCCAACCCAGACCTAGATTTAAAATCAGCAGGAGTAGCGATCTGACTACTACTACTGGGCGGACCAGGGTTAGGTTGTACATTTCCAGATAGCAATAATAACAAAAAAAACAGGCATCTTTTTCTCTTAATCGCCACACCTAAATTGTCATCTACTTTAAAATCACCAGCAAGGTCTGTGAAAGTGTGATTTGAGCTCAAGAAGCAGTCCTGCTTCTTGAGTCATGGCAGGCAAGCGAAATAGACAAACACAGTTTGCCAAACTGATTGACTGAGACAAGGCAACTGGAAATCGTTCGCGAAACACACCCGATCCTTTGCAGGGGATGCCCACAGCGGGCGGCAGAACAGACCTGAATCCAGTCGACTTCTCAGGATCACGAGAGAACTTCTCACTGTCCAAAACAGCCAACAGGCACAGCAGAATCACGATAAAGGCCATTTTCCCAGACCAGCACAGTATCCGTGATGTTTTTGGAGCAAATCCTCCTCAGCACAGCCCCAGCCCGAACGTGGAGGCGCTCCGGTCTCTCCGCGGTGTCCCCGGGGTAATTCCTCCTCGGCACAGCAGCAGGCCTCCGCTACACCAGAAACTGACAGGTGGAAAGCAGGCCCCAGCCCGAACGTGGAGACGCTCCGTCTCTCCACTCCGTCTCCGGGGCAAAATCCTCCTCACCACAGCAGCACAGTACAGGTGGATGCAGGCCTCCGCTACAGCAGTACAAGACAGGCAGAAAGCAGGCCCCAGCCTGAACGCGGAGAACGTTCAGGCCACTCCGCAATGCCCTCGGTGCAAATCCTCCTTTCCACGCCGGCGGACAAAACGTGTTATGTATAATTAATGTATGTTTGCCACAGATCTATTTTGAGGTAATACTCGGAAAAACCCCATTTACCTTTTTGCAGAGGGAGAACTTGCAAGGCAAACTTCCGGATCGGTCCACTGCAGCACTAGTGCCATACTGTCATATGCTGGTAGTGGGCTGCAGGCTGTGTGATAGTGCCACTTAACCTGTTAGAGGAGGGGCTGGTTGACTTTGTGGCGTGCAAGGTGCATGACTCAAGGATTGGTTGTCCGTCCATTGGCTACTCATGTTTGGTCCTGTCGGCCCACTAGGCCTTGTTCTGTGGGCCTAATACAGTATGTGTACTCAGTGGACTTGTTTTGCTGTGCTGCAGCACCTCTTTTCCCCCTTTGTCTGAAACCAGAACCAAGTCTGCTCTGATTGGTTAGCTGGCTGTCTCAGTTGTGATTGGTCAACCGCTTAGAGATTTCCTGTACCTCATGTTCAATGTGTTTGAGTGCTAGCCAATATGGGGCACTACATAGTGATGTCACTATGTTGAGGAAGTAAACAAAGGGGAGAGTAACTCCTTCAGGAGGGCACTTTGGGATTGTAGCCTTTGCAGACCATTTACATGCATTAAAACCTATGTAACACACTACAGGAAAGGGAAGACCCAAAAAAGCAGAATAGGGCCTCTTTAAAATGTTTTGGTTAAAACCCTCTTATAACTGGAATGACATGAAGTAAAAACATGTTGCTTTTAAGATTTGGCCATGCTTCAGCATGATTTCTCTGACTGGCACTCGACGCTGCCCTCCTTCATATCTGAAGGGGAGACATTTGGAGTTGGAGAAGGAGAGAATGTGAGAGAGCAGGGGCGAAGCTGCAGCCTTACTCATGTGAATACCGATTTGGCTACAGCTTACCTCAGGGACGCCTGCAGCAAGCCAATTACCCAGCCTCAGTCACAGAGAGAGGAAGACAGAAACACAGATTGACTGAAGCAAATAATGTGTTTCAGCAGCAGCTCCAGCTTCAGCTCCAATTCCACCCTGTTATCCATGTACCACAAATCCTACTGACACCTGTCCCTCTTTCTCTTTCCCACTTTCCTGCATGCACCTTGATTCCACAAAACACTACAGGCTAGGAGTGCAGCGCCAGAAAGAGGAAGGAAGAAAAGGGATAAAAGCGGCTGCTAAATAATCCCATTTACTTCTGAAATGTGAACCGCTGCTTTTATTCTTGACACACAGCAGGCAGGCCTGGTTCAAGCCGAGTGTGGGTAGGATTGGCAAACGGAGTAAGCAGAGAGGGAGAGAGACGTGTTTTGAAATGAGGCTTGAAAGGCAGCCCAGTTTGCAGCTTAGGGAATCACTAAATGTCTGCTAGGAAAGGATGAAGGGAGAGAGGAGATGAAAGAGTGGATAGCAGTCAAGTGGATGGAGGGAGCTATAAAAAGGTACATATAAAGAAGGTGGCTGTGTACATAAAACTGCAGGAAGTGAAGAAAAAAAAGATGAAGGATGGTGGAAAAGGAGACCATTTTCGCTCCTCAAAGAGGGGCAGGCTGGATGTGTGAAATCCAGAGATGTGGAAAAAGCCCGCTGTGAAATGTTTCCTCAGCCTTCTCAGCAGTTTCTCAGCTCATTAGGAGTAGGAAAAGGTAAAGTCCAGGCAGGATCTAATTCTTTTTTCCCTCTCTTTCATCCAATTCTCTTTTCCTTCTTCACTTTCCAATCTACCGTCTGTATGCTGGGAACGTGTGGACATTTGGGCACAGTATTTAAATAGTGTATCAATATTGGCCTGAAATGTATTCTGATTACATATTTTTAAAAATAGGTCCTGCGAAGACGAATAAATTTGAATGCCGTTTGATATTTGGCTCTTAAAGACAATATGGAGGATGAGATGTAGAAATAGTCCCTTTTTCTTGTTTTGTTTTAGGTGATGCAGAGCTGGATGCTGTCTGTGAGGCCTGCCTGCCCTACCTCAGCTGCAGACAACCAATTAGACTGCAGGAGGCTGCCATTAGGTGAGCTATGTCCTTCTATATCCTGCTAGATAATGCCCTTTTATACTTTATTAAATTCAATAAACTGCTGTATTAACTAGTTACTTCACTGGTTAGGAGTTAACATATAAAATAGAAAGAAAAATAAATACATTCAAAAACATTTTTTATCGTGTTAATTACAATACAAATACATCATTAATTAGGATTTATTAAACGTTAGAAAAACAGAATATTTAAAAAAATACACGTGTGGTGTTGTAAATAATTAATGAAAAACTGGCAGGAGAAATCGGCTGTGTTTTCATTTTATTATAACATCTCCGTTTAGCTTTGATCATATCTGAATCATTGCCATGAAGTCACACTTAGTTAAAGCATCGACAAACACACAGAGTGTCGCTGTGATCACCTTCTGTATAATGTCTGCTCCACATACAGTATGTCTGTATGTCGGTATTCTTAGTGCTGCTTTCACATAGCGACATATTTCAAACAAAATAAATACTGAGTCTATCGTTGAAGCCGAATAATTAAATCACTTCCTTCCTCCATTTTATGTGCCAAGACATGAAGAGGATGTTTATATTCATGTTTCAGATCCTGCAGCACATGTGTGTGTTGCCTGCTCGCGTGTGCAGGTGCGTCCTCAGCAAAATCACATGTTAAACCCCCAGGTTTTAACATATGATTTTGCTGAGGGGACCCTTAGTCTGAAAAGCTCTCCCTCAGCAAGTTTATGAGGGTGATGCTTCCTTAACTGACTATGAGTTTCATTTTCAGATAATCTGCCAATTATTTTCTGGATAAATCCATTGATCATTTGGTTTGTGAAGTCACAGTTTCCTAAAGCCCGAGGTTATATCTTAAAATAGCTTGCATGGTCGGACATTTCGGATCACATCATTTTTCAATCAACTATAACATGGGATAAAAAAAAAAGGTGGAAAAGAGAATATGCTGAACTCTGGTTGAAATAGTAATTATGAAATGATATTGAACGTTGTTTTCTGATTGACTGATCAATGAATTAGCTTGTACTTTCATCTCTTTTTTAGATGCAGTTGAGTTTCTTTGATAGAAGAAAGCACGCTAACGTTGAAATCAGCGGTTTATCGGATTATGTGAATTTCCGGGTGCTAAAGAAGATGCTAGATATACATAAAACTATTTGTTGGCTTAAACCCAAAAAAAGGTTTTGGTACTTGGGACTGTGCAGTATGACAGCAAAGCTTAATATGCAGCTTTTAGCTGACTGCACTTTATAAGTCATGTTACTGGGCAGAGGTAAGTTTAAGACTCTAACCTGATTAGTTTGCCTGCTGCTGGAGGCAGCTAATATTAAATCTACAATAAAGTAGTGGCTGTTAGTTTCATGAATAATAAGGGCAAATCTTGTTAAAGGTGGGGTATGTAATTTATTTCAGAAAAACTTTTTGTTATATTCCATGGAATGCTCTTAACATCCCGATAGCAATGAATATATTAAATGCTTTGACAATAAATACATTAAAAAATGTCATCTGTAGAAGCCGTAGCGCTGTAAAAAGCACGACCAATCATTTTAGCGGCCCGGCTAAAATAACTGGATGGCCTACCTGCCTGTCAGCCTTCCATCTGTGCACAAACTTATCTCGTGCCCTCATTGGTCATGTGCGCGTTCGTGTGTGTTGGAGGAGGGGCTCTGTAAGGAAGTGGCAGATTTTTTCCGGTTGTGTATTTTCAAATTCGAGCGATCTCGAGCTGGTTTCTCCAAAATTACATACCCCACCTTTAAGGTTGTTCTGTCATACAACATTCATACAAAGAAAACACAGCAACTAGTGCCTTGAAACAGTGGATACGATATTACTTTAATGGTCAGATCAAGTCTGGCATTTTAAATTTGAGCGCAGCTCCTTTTGCAACATTACCAAGGACAAATTAAGACATAATACAATAAAAACAAACATTTAACGTAACATCACAATCACTGAGAGATTGTGATGTTACGCGTCAAATGCAGACCCTTTAGCGTGCATTTGACCTGGGATTTTGCTCTGTCTGTATTTACTGTTATAATTGACTGGTGCACTAAGGAGTGCTTCAGTCTGACTTTATCAAAACGTGTTGTAAAGACAGGATTGAAACAAGGAGACATTGGGCAAATAGTCCTGGGCCGGATTCAAAACTGGGTCCAGCACTTTGGGACCAAGCCCCAGTATATGGGCCACCAGTTTTACCAATTGAGCTACACAGCGGCTCAGAGGAGCTATTATTTCTGAGTATGTCCTTGGTTACGCCTTTGTTGTTGAGATGGATTTTGTGATCATTTTTGCCTTGAAAATGCCTTTGGGAATTGTTAAACACACCTGAAGGAAAGAAAATAAAGACGTTTATAGGCAAATTGTAGGAATGAAGCGAGTAAACCTGCTGTGTTGTGCTCAGTCTGTCACTTTGGATTACAGGAAGGTGTTTCTCCATATTATGAACCTTAGCAGAATATAGCCCAGAGCTAATCCTCTCCCCATGTATCTTTCTTTCCACTCCACAGCGTTTTCCAGCACTTAATCCAGGTGGATCCGGATGCCTTCTGGTTTACTCTCAACGAGCTGCACTGCCCGTCCTCCTACACCCCCCCCCACCCCGACCTCCACCCAATCCAGCTGAGCGGAATGGGCCGGGCGAGAGACGAGTTCTCGGACAACGCGCTCCGGCTGCTGAGGGAGGAGTTTGGCTCTGCTGCTGAGACAAAAGAGCAGCCAGTGAGCTAACGAGCTAATGATTGATGTGACTCGTCCCTCACACGGAGCGCTCATTGAACCGCTGACTCCAACAAGTCAGTTGACGGAAGAAAATCTGACAATTGTGCCAGAAAAAAGAGCCATCAGATACGGCTGTGATAACCTTCACGCTCTGCAGGGCTCTGATAAGCAGCGAGGTACAATGGGAACATGTCAACGAGGCATCTCTGCTGCTGCAGGTGTAGAAAACAAGCAACACCTCTGACAGGTCTTCTACATGAGGAGACATGCAGTCCGAGGGCTGAGGCTCTTTGTTCCATGTGAAGGCACATACATATACTATAATGCTTGCTATTCCATTTATTTCTCAAGAAATACCTTACTTGGAACCACTTGGCTGTTGTTCACCCAGATGAAATGATTGTTTTGTGAAACATTCTTAATTAAAATAATCCCAACTATTGTAAAATAATGTTGTGATGTTGCAGTCAAAGGGCTAGGTGTCAAATGGTACAAACTAAATGAAATATGGAATAGATTAAACGTGGCCAGATTGATAACCTTTTTACTTTAAAAGGGGAACTCCACCAATGTTACACTTCAAAGACTGTTTACAGGCCTTTGAAATAGTTCTGCATAAATGCGACTCAAGCATTTTATGCCTTCAGAGGGAGCTGCACAAAATTATATAAAATGCCACAAACGGGGTAGTAAAGTATTTTCTTTGAATTAGCTTACTCCTCCTGTTGTCTTCGGGTCAAATCTGACCAATTTACTACTTTAATCAATCATAACTTTTTTGTTTTACATTCGATTGCATTAAGGCTTTATGATATCCTTCACAGTAGACATTTGAACATATATAATTGCTGATCACCACTGTCATTGCATTTTGGATGATTTAGTCAACTTTGTAACACCCATGGTGTTCCCGGTCAAAAATGACCGCCATCAAGAAAAGGAATTAGTAACCATCCGGATCAGATAAAACACACACACAAACACCCACACCAGAGTCCTGCATCGGGTCGGGTACCCGACAGGTGACCCGCAAAAAGTGTGATTCGCGGGTGGTATTTTTTCAAACATTTTTTTCCGGGTTCGGTTCTGGGTAAAACAAAGAAGAAGCGGGTCGGGTCGCGGGTGTTGCATAATAAATATACTAAAATAATAATAATTTAATTTAATGTTTAAATCCTCAGACCTCTTCCCCTCGGGACCGCGCATAATCATAACCTCTGCACCGCATCAATCTGCTGCTGAGCGCGCCACATTCGAAATGGCTGAGGTGAAGCTCTCTAGCGGAGAATACAGCATTGTCAATAACTCTTCCTCGAGAGCGAAATCCAACGTCTGGGAGGCTTTTGGTGTCATCCTAGATGGAGAAAATAACCAACATCCCACGCTTTTTGAGCCAAATACGCAGCTGCGTTGTTAATAATTGCATTTTTTCACTGCTCATAGGATATGCGGGTTCGGGTCAGTTTGCGGATCTTGTGCCGACGGGTCGGGTCAGTTTGCGGAACTAATTGGCAATATGTGCGGGTGGCGGGGCGGGTTCGGTATTGCACGGGCTCTGGTTTCAGACAGAGGGTGAAAAGAGGTGCTGCAGCACAGGCAGTTTGAGGAAAATAAATACCTTTTTGAACATTAAAGCATGGAAACATGTCACAGTGGAGGCATAAATTACAATTATGGAACCTATGGAATTAGCATAATAGGACCCCTTTAAGTCTACAAAAATAAATGATGATGGACGATTCTCTCACTAACCTTTGAGCTCTCCTCCCATCACCCACATCTGAAACGCTGTCTGCAGGTGTGGCTCCTTGAAGGCCACAGGGTGCACCAGGCAGGTTGTGTAAGCACAAAGGAATTGAACGCCTCATGAGAGGGATAGCGGCCGATCTAACATTGTACCTGTTATCACTCAGAGCCCTACAGGGAGCAGGGGATGTTTAAAATGAAGGAAACAGGAAGCCACCTCCATTATCTCCTCACCTCGCTGACGGGAGAACCCCGGAGCCGCGCCTCATCGCTCCGTAATGAATGTATGAGGCTTCTAGAGTGAAACACGATCGCCACGTGTTTTGTATTTAGCTGGCCTGGCTTAACGCTAGCAGAGCGCCTCTTTATCTCTTACTGCGCTGTTGCTATTTATCCTGCTGCCAGGGCTGCCAGTGGCACCATTAGTCATCAGCAGCATGGGAGTGGGGCTGTGGCAGCACCGATTACACACCGCCTAATGTTTTTCCTTAACGCACACTAGCAGGGACCAAAGCTAAACCCAGGCTAACGTAGACGAATACCCACACTAACCTTTTGGATATTTTCATACCCATTAAATCAATAAGAAAATGACCATAGATTCACTGTTGTTTCATATACAATTTATTTCATTTGATAAAGCCATACACTTAAGAGTGAGACCAAACATTCTTGAAGAAATGTACATGTTTCCTTCTTTTTTTCTTACAGTGACTTCTTAGAATCTTTACAAAACATCAAATCGTCGTTGGAATAAAAACAACCCCACTCACTGATCATTGCTCCACCCTCTCAGATTACTGGGTCTGCCAACAATAACAGGAGGGGTGTACTCCTGTCATGGAGCAGAGAAGTAAAGCCCCGCATGGCCTTGAGACACACTTTATTTTGAGGCAGTATCAAGAGCCAATGGAAGAGGAATAGGGCCACATGAAAAAAATGATTTGGGGATGTGAAAAAAAATGTTTTATTTTTGTTCTAAGAAAAAAAGTCAGAATTCTGACTTAAAAAAAATAAAAATACATTTTAACATCCCCACATTTTTTTTCCTGTGGCCCTAATCCTCTTCCGTATATAAATACAAGTGTTTCCCTAACAACATTTCTCTCTTTTTTTTTTCAAGAAGCTCAAGGTTGTATCCGGTATTATTTCCCACTTTCACTTTGTCCCATTTTACCCTTTCAGAATGCTTTTCGCAAGCAAAGAGATTATCATCGAGTTACAAAACTGGCAGATGTAAAACGGCTTTTCCAATCTTCCTGAACTGCACAAAAGTAATTCCACGCTTGAAAGAAGGTAACACTCATGTTGGCGGCCTTGCACATACAGTACAGTAGTTTCATAAATACTGCTTTAAGTACTAAGATACATAAGGGGAACCCCTTTCTGTGCAGCTATGAAAAGAATATGTCATTCATCGGTCTGTACAGCACTTCTGGAGAGCAGTAAAGCAACAGAAAACTGCTTTTAAAAACAATTTGAAAGGACTTTAAAGTAGAAAAAAAAAAGAATGGATATTTCTTTATTTAACCGAATACATAAATGACAAAATACCCTAACACTGTCTTTGTGTATGGTTGGTTGAAAAAGTTTTTAAGAAAATTACTGAACATGCACTCACTTTATTTCATATTATACAGTCATATATACAGAGTGGATTAGAGGCTTGTAGTGGAGAGGATTGAGGCTTTTTAAATGATTGATGAGCATTTTAAATAAGGGAACTAAGCTTGGATAGGAATATAGCAACACTCTTCCCAAAAAGATAATTTGGTTTCATTGATTTCTAGACAAGAAGGAGTATATTCAGAGGCACACCAAGTCAGATTTTTAAGTTTAGTAGCACAGATTTTGATCTTTTCATGGCTTTCCAAACTGTTAATCTTCCCTATGATTGATTTCTCTCAGCCTGAATAGCCATGAATGGATTTAACCTGCGGAGGCGGTGAACAAAAATCACATTTTCTGTTGGGCTGCAGATTAATGATCTCAAAAGAAGAATATACAGCCTGTGCTTTGTTAGAAATCCCACACTTTCCACACCGCCACTGTATTCACTCCAAGGCAAATGAATTGAGGCTGTATCTGTCCTTGATGAGCACTGCAGCTCTGGGACCTTGATGAGTTTCTGCTGAAGAAAGCATGTTTCTTTCCCCTGCGAGTAAACACAGAATACATTGCTGAAGAATCAGCTGCATACAGATTCGTGATCGTTGTTTAAAACATAAAAAAGATGCAGATGAATGTAAAAACGCTAAGGAATCAGACTCGGAAAAAGATATCCAGGGAAGAATTACTGGCGCTTTAGCTTCATTCAGTGCACTCTTAGAAGAAAAGGAACATTTTTCTTTTACTGGGCATAGACCCAGTTGCAAAAAGTTTAAATCCTTTTTTTCTGAGGGTGTATTAAACGAAAGAGTAAGGCAGTGGAAGAAGAATGAGCCTGAAAGCAGGGTTGTGTCATTTACAGTATCTTAAGAGTCGAGTTATAGTAAGTCTTTTTGTTTTTAAATAAGAGCTGAGGCCAGAAACAATGGAGCTGCTTAGATCTACCCATCAGCCCCTCTTTGCTGAACGTCGTGAAGCAGACAGTCCCATGCACAGCAAGAAAAAGCTACGTTCCCCAGCACAGTTTACAGCACCGTGCCCTGAATAAGCCATTTCTAGGCATTCTGGATTTGTGCACACGCTCGCACTGTGTGGGAAGAATAGCTTTTTATGCGGTGACACACATCATGTAATGCAATCCTTGTGTAATCTATCACTCAGGTGTAATAATGTCTACAGCTTGCAGCTTGGCTCGTTGGAGCAGTCATTGTGGTTCCTGTCCACGTCCCTCTTCCTCAGCTCCCTGCCCGCCTTGTGCTGCTGGCTGCTGCCGCTGTGGCTGTGGCCGTGGGGGGGGGCCGCCGCCGCCGATGGCCGCCTGCCGTGCTCCTGGTGGTTCCCGTGGCTCTGGTGATGGACGTGCTCTTTGGCACCGCCGTGGGACTCGTCCTCGAATGCGGCCCCTCCCTTGGTGTCGTCCAGGGCTTCGAAGTTGTCGCTGTTGGTTCCCTCTCTGACGGCGCTCTCTGGCACCACCTGCAGGCGGGCTCTGACGCGGTGGTGGCGCGAGCCCACGTCGTCACTGAAGTCGATGACGCGGCACTCGTAGGTGCCCTCGTCCGACGTCTTGATCCGGGAGAGCCGCAGTTTATGGGAGATGTTGCTTCCTACAACCTTAACAACCTGGTAGAGATAAACAGATGAAAATAAATAAATAATTTGATTACACCGGGAAATAAACCTACTTAATACAAGCTTGAAGAACTTTTGGTGGCCACATATTTGGCAATTACAGGATAATGTCAAAAATATCATTCAAAAAGTAAAGGGATAGCATGTGGAAAAAAGTAATAAAAAAGTAATATGTCGTAAAATGTGAAAAACATCCATAGTTGCGTATGTCGGAAATACTATAAAAATGTCATAGCGTAGTGTGTTGAAGGAAGGTCATGAACAAATTGATACAAAAAATAATAGAAAAGTCATATAACATGTCCTAAAATAATAGAAAAGTCATATTATTGTAAATGACAGTATACAGTATATTTTAGACATACTATGTCTTTTCTTTGTATATTTTCCACATAATTTTTTTGCACATTTTTGACATACTATACTACATAGTTTCATAATATATTTTCGACATACCAAACAATGTGGTCTTTTTGTATATTTCTGACATAATATAATATGTCGTTAGAAAAAATATCACTCGGACCGGCTTGAGCTTCAATATCAGGATACATGTATTTATCATCCTCTCAAGAATGGAAGTA